TGCACCCCATATCAGAGTGCTGACCTGAGTCCTGGCTACTTGGATTCTGATTCAGCTTCCTCCTGCTAATTCTTCCTGGGAAGCAGCGGATGATGGTGTAAATTCTTGGGCACCAGCCGCCCATGTGGGAGACACAGAGGGAATTCCAGGCTCCTGACTTCAGCCTGGCCCTGCCCTGGTTGTTGCGGGGATTTGGGGAGTGAACGAGTGGGTGGAAAGTCTCTGTTGCTCTGCTTTTCAAGTAAGATGGAAAAAAAAATGTAAAAGCCAGCTAGATGGTCAGCGCCGTGGCTCACTAGGCTAATCCTCCGCCTTGCGGCGCCGGCACACCGGGTTCTAGTCCTGGTCAGGGTATCGGGTTCTGTCCCGGTTGCCCCTCTTCCAGGCCAGCTCTCTGCTGTGGCCCGGGAGTGCAGTGGAGGATGGCCTAAGTGCTTGGGCCCTGCACCCCATGGGAGACCAGGAGAAGCACCTGGCTCCTGGCTTCGGATCAGCGCGGTGGCCATTGGAGGGTGAACCAACGGCAATGGAAGACCTTTCTCACTCTCCACTCTGCCTGCCAAAAAAAAAAAAAAAATTAAAGCCAGCTAGATGTCAGAAAGAATTCTCTGGAAGGGGACAGTGAAGGCCTGGCTGGCGTCTGCTGGTTTTCTCAACACAGTTTTTACAATATTTGGTTCTTAGGTTATGTGCAAGAGTAACTTTTTTTTTTTTTTGGAAAAAGGAAATCTAGAAGGCATAGCAGTCGATAGGTGGAAGTATCATTTCACGAAACTCAGTTGTGCATGCTAATATATGTACTGGGTTGGTTTTTTTGTTAAGTGTGTTTTTTACTGTGGGCCTTGGTCAAACAACTGGAAAGCCATTGGTTAGAGGTTTCTCATTATCATTCTCTTTTCACATTTCTGAGTCATTTCAAATATTTTATACTTGAGTGCATGCTTCCTTTTTTTTTTTTTTTTTAATTAAAAAGGGCTGAAGGGACAGGAATGTTACAGGTTAATATAATATTGAAGCAGAGGAGCCTGTTCACCGTGACTACAGAGCTCATCACACAGCTGCAACCCACAGAGGCCGTAATTTGCATCTAGAACCAGAAGTGGTGATGGTTAAGTATGTCAGTGGAAAACTTTCTGGAAATTGAGTTCTAAGTCCACCACCCTATGCAGCCATTTCTATGCTCTTACTTTCCACGTTGTACTTTAACCACATACTTACAAATTGTTCCGTAACTGCAAATCGTGATGCTCAGTGCTGCTTCTTCTTCTGTTGGTTTATTTTCTTGGGGCAAATTTAGTCATCAGTTTATTGGATTATGAGTATGACGCCTTTTTTTTTCTTTGACAGTGAATTTCTGTAACTATTGCTTTCCCAAGGGTGGTAGCCGGTATCTCGCCAGCGAGGTAGGAGAAATGTGCTTGCCAGCAAGTGGTGGTTATTCTGGTAAATTGAAAAGTGTAGTAGCTCGGAATTGTCTTGTGAGTGCCATTCCCAGTGGCATTGAATGTTTTTCCATCTGTTAATTATGTTATCCTTCTATTTCTGAATCACAACCGTATCCTCTGTTTGCCTAAAACAGGAGTCTTCTGTTGTATTAAGTTTGAGCCATTATGTGTTGTGAATATTTATTCTTTACAATGGCTGCAGGTGCCAGTAACTTACCGTTTGTGTTTCCTTTGCCATTTTAAAGTAACTTTTCATCATATAGGGATTTTTAGACTTTTTATCTGTAGTGTGTTGGTAATCGTGTGCTTTGGAATTGTTTTTTCCTCTTGCTTCAAAGTGAAGGGAATGAACTTGGGGGTCTGTTCTGTAGAAGTATGTGTGTGTGCTCTTTAAATATCTAGACTGAGATTTTTACAACGATTTATTTGTTTATTTGAAAGGCAGAATGTCAGAGAGAAAGACAGAGAGAGAGATATTTTCCATGGTTCATTCCCCAAATGCCAACAACAGCTGGTCTGGGCAAGGCTGAAGCTAGGAGCTTTTTTCTGGTCTCCCACATGGGTAGCAGGGGCCCAAGTACTTGGGCCATCTTCTGCTGCTTTCTCAGGCAAATTAACTGGAAGCTGGATTGGAAGTATGGAGTAGCTGGAACTCCAGCTGTGACAGGCTAGATGGGATGTGGGCTCCCAAGCGAGAGTTTAACCTGCAGGGCCACAACACCCGCTCCTTCGTTGATTTTTGCTTGTTATTTAATTCTTAGATTGCCAGCCAGCTCTCTCATCACTAAGTAATTCTACCTTTACCCTCTATTGAGAAGTTTATATTTCAAAAAACGTATATGTCTTGTTTGCCATGTAAATACCTTATTTTGTATTAATAAGTTCTTGGAATTCAGACAATATGAATGAGGTCTTAGCATTAAGTTTCTCTGATAATTATTTCTTGTGGACACAGGCAGTTCCTGGAGATTCTCTGCTGGAGTGGTAATTAGTATTTATAAAATGCTCACTCATCTGCTTTTATTTTTTAAAGTTTGCATTATATTTTATTTTAAAAGAGTAAACACAGTGAATTTAAAAAAAAAAAAACACTTATTTTTATTTGAAAGAGAGGACATAGACAGACAGAGATCTTCTACTTGCTGGTTCATTTTCCAAATGCCTGCGACAGCTGGGACTAGGCCAGGCCAAAGCCAGGAGCTGGGAATTCAGTCCACATCCCCCACATGGTTGGCAGGGACCCTAGCACTTGAAGCACCATTCACTGTCTCTTAGGGTTCACATTAGCAGGAGACTGGATTGAAGCCGAGAAGCTGGCAGTAGAACCAGGCATTACTTTAATGGGGCACAGGGCCACCCCAAGCGTGGGCTTAAGCTGCTGTGCTTAATACCCTCCCCTAAACTTACCTTTTAATTCCAGTTCCCCCCAAGTTCTTAGAGTGCCCTCATAGGTGAGAGGCCAAGGACACAATCAGGGTCACTTTGGAATCCTTTGGGGTCAGATCTGAGTTCTGGTTTCAGCACTGCTACTTTGGCCGGCCTCTTGGATTCTCTTGTAACTGTGAGTCCCGATTCCATCAGTGGCTTAGGAGGCTTGAGTCCTTCCTCCCTTGAGGTGTGAAGCTGCAGAGCCACACTTCCGAGATTCCTTCACAGCACTTGAGTTTTAGGCGACGTTTCTTCCCCTCACATTCGTGAATCCAGCCATCAGTAGCCTGATCTCTTCCCCCTTCCAATAAAATCCCCAAACCAGGGCTTTGGGGCCCTGTAGGCCATGAAGCACAAGCAACGGATGCTAGTTTGGTTAGTTGCTTACCAGGAGTCCTGTGTGCCCCAGCCTGTCTGTGCCGCACCGCAGCCAATGTGGCCCACTGACCTTCGCAGGGTCCCCAAGGTGACCGCAGTGCTCACTGCTCAGGAGATACCTGGTGCACCTGGGAACTTCTCAAAAGTGCAGATTTGGAGCCTCAATCCAGACCTGTTAATCAGAACTTTGGCACTGAGTGGTGGGGGTGTCTACCTAGAAAATGATTCTTAGGCAGCCAACTGGGCCCCTCAGGCCAGTGACATCAGGGACTGGTCCCTGAGAGCTCTGTTTTCATTGAGGGTGCCGAGGCCCTGAGAGGGCAGGGGCTTGGGCAAGGTCAGGCCGTGCTACTGAAGGGCGGCACCTGTGTCTGTGCGCTCCTGTGTTGTGTGTCCAGGCCTCACAGGTGTATGTTGTGAGGGGTCTGGCACCTGGGCTGGTTGTACTTACCTTCATTCTTGTGCAAATGCTGCTGTGATGGCGGTGTGGAGGGGGCTGCTGGGTACCCTCCTCATTCACAGTGGGTTTTCGAGGTTGGAAGGCCAGGCTCTTCCAATAGGATGCTGACCACTCTCCCATAAGGTGAGAGGGCAAGTGAAGGTCCAGTGTCCAGGCTGTGCCTGTCAATTGCACACCTTAGGAGGGATGGCCGGGCAGTCACAGGAACGCGGCTCTTGTGTTCCTTCTTGGCACCACTTTCTCAGAACATGCAAACAGCGGCAGAAGCTGGGTCTTGGCTGGTGGTGGCCAGGTAGGCCTTGTTCTTGCCCTGGGCCCTTTCACTCTAGGAAGTGAGAGGTGAGCAGGGGCAGTGGCCAGGGTAGGGGGTGGTGTTAGGGTTCTACCTGGATTGCCACTGAGGTTCAAAAAGGAAAGTAGCTCTCAAGCTGGGCCAAGCACTCAAGATCTCCCTTTGAAGCACCTTCCTTTTTTGTAGGAGTCTCCCAGGGCTCTTGGGGATGGGCAGGTCTCAGGGTACTTGCATAGGTAGAGGTTGTGTGGTTTAGGCATCGTCATAGCTCCAGGAGGCCAGAGCTGTGGTTGTGGTGGGAGGAAGAGAAGAGGGGAGGCTACCCGGGATGGGGGGAGATGAAGGCTGGCCTCTGTAGGCTCACAGGATCCCTCTGCCCAGGCTGGGACCCCCCTGCCCCTCTGAGGGGCTGAGCTAGGGAGGTGGTGTCAGAAGTCTGTGTTGGGTGGATGGATGTGGAGTCACACTGTGCTGGCACAGTGGATCATGTCCAGGCCTCTTCCCAGATGCTGCTTTCTGGGATCAAACCCCTGTTTCTTGGGGTGGGTGGGAAGGCTGTGGATGGGGGGCTCACTCTCCTGGGCTTAGCCATTGCTGCTATCCTTGGGCAAGTTGCAGGACCTTTCTGAACCCCTGATTCTTCAGCCATGAAGTGGAAAAACCAGTGCCCGACCTAGAGGTGATGAGATGAGTGTCTGGAAGGTTCCAAGCAGATTCCTGGGACTTAGAAGTCACTTGAAAATCATCATTCTCCTTTCTTTTGAAAATCCCCCTTATCCTTTTGCTGCTTTTGGAAAGCTGACATAACCTAATTTCTGCCTAATATATCGCTGGCCTTGGTACTAGGCCTGTGTTTGCACTCGCAAAGGACGTGAGGAATGGATTTGGAGACTTCAGGATCTGTGTCTGAGCCCCACCTTTGCTCTTTTCTTGAGAAGCAGGTGCTGGGGAGATGTTTTCAAACTGAGCTTGACGTCTCGTCTGTTCCTGTCTGCAGATCCTGCCTCTCGGAAGATGCACTATTATCGATACTCTAATGCCGAGGTCAGCTGCTGGTACAAGTACCTCCTTTTCAGCTACAACATCGTCTTCTGGGTGAGTGCCTACAGTCCTTCAGTCTGTAGATCACAACGGTTCACATCCCTGTGCTTTTGCCAGGCCCCACGAGGCTCTGCGATAAGGTGCTGGACAGGGTGGATGAGTCTTTCCCTTACAGAACAAGCAATGGAGAGTGGGAGGTGACTGAACACTGGATTAAGGGTGCCAGACGCAGCACTAGGAGCTCAAGAAGGCTTGAGGCTTCAGCCCAGATAGCTGTCTCCCCAGCCTGCCCCAGGAACGCCCCACTGGAGCTGTCTGCAATAAGGCACTTTGTGTGAGCGCCACTGTGGGCCAGCCAGGCCTGTTGTGGTTTCTAGGAGGTAACAGGGATAAGGGCAGTTGTCCTAATGTTCCATCAAAAGTGTTGTGAGCCTACCGAGCTGCAAGAGCAAGGCAGGAGAAGCCCCTGGCTGAGACTGGTCAGGGAGAGCATTCACAGGAGGGGATCTGCGTCCTAGTGAAGAGGCAGCTAAGTAGGGGTCTGGGGAAGAAAGCTCCAGGCAGAAAGAAGAGCAGTTGCAAAGGCCCTGAGCAAGAATGAACTTGGTCTGTGCAGAGGACAAAAGGAAGAGCACGTGACTAGAGCTAGTGAATACAGGGGAGAAGGGGCCCGGGGTAGAGGTTCAGGAGCCAGGTTGTCCAGGGCCGTGAGGTCTCAGTAAGTGGTTGGAACTCAGTTGGATGGTTTGGTCTCACTGGGGGCTGACTGCAGAGTCGGGGCCGGGATGGGAATCAGGGACACAAGGGCAAGTTTGAGTCGTTGTTTAGCCAGCCTCATGGACCTGATGGTTTCTTTTGTCCAACCATCTGAAGATGGACATCTTGGTCACACTCAGGGGAAGGGGTGGATCAGTTGAGAGCATTAGGGCAAGCCTGTTGACCATGGAGAGAAGACAAGTGTAGGCGTCCAGAGGCTGTAGAGTGAGTAGCCTGACATCAGAGGAAGGCCAGGAGGTTTTGTGATGTAAAAGCCTTTCACATGGACAGGAGCAGTCAGCTGTGCCACTGTGAGGGGATGTAGGATGAGGACGGAAAACTGAGAATGGTTGGGATGAGGTGGAGGTTGCTGGTACACCTGGCCGGAGGGCCAGAGTTGCCCTGTGCTTGGGCGGTGGTGAAGATGGAATGCAGCTGGGGTTGGTCAGGGAGCCGTCCCTAGACTGGTGTATGCTGGAGGCTGCCTGAGACATAGAGTCTTGTTCTTCCAGCTGCCCCACTCTGCCTGTGTCTCCACCTCTGAGGTTCATGCTGATTTTTGCAGTAGAGCAAAACTCCTACTGCGGCTGTGCCTGATGGCCGTGGTGACCTCCATGTCTTCCGAGGCTTTTCAGAACAGATTTTCTCCTGTTGGGGGCTCAGTTCACCTCTGCAATACCACATTTGCAGTACCAAATTGAATTGTGGATTTTTAAAAAAGTATTCAGTTATGTATTTATTTGAAAGCCAGAGTTAGAGAGAGGTTTTCCATCTGCTGGTTCACTCCCCAAATAGCTGCAACATCCAGGGCTCAGCCAGGCTGAAGCCAGGAGCCAAGAACTTCACCCAGGTCTCTCACATGGGTGGCGGGGGCCTAAGCACTTGAGCTATCCTTTTCTGCTTTTTCCCAGGTCATTAGCAGGAGCTGGATCGTAAGTGGAGCAGCCAGAACTCGAACTGACACTCAAGTGGGATGTTGGGATTGCAGGCAGCAGCTTTATCCTCCACCTTGCGGCGCCGGCACACCGGGTTCTAGTCCCGGTCGGGGCGCCGGATTCTCTCCCGGTTGCCCCTCTTCCAGGCCAGCTCTCTGCTATGGCCCGGGAGTGCAGTGGAGGATGGCCCAAGTGCTTGGGCCCTGCACCCCATGGGAGACCAGGAGAAGCACCTGGCTCCTGCCATCGGATCAGCGCGGTGCGCCGGCTGTGGCGACCATTAGAGGGTGAACCAGCGGCAAAAGGAAGACCTTTCTCTGTCTCTCTCTCTCTCACTGTCCACCCTGCCTGTCAAAAATTAAAAAAGAAAAAAAAAAAGAAAATGATGCATGAGAGAGATTGATTAGAAATGCAGATAGGAAGCCAGGCACCTTGCTGAGGGAAAGGCTGCCTGCATCCCCCTGCTGGGTGCCTGTGGGAGATTTGTTGTCTTTGTCTACACAGGCGTCAGCAGTGTGGGGGAGGCCTGAAAGTTGGGGTGCATGGCCAGGCTGCTAGGCTGCTGCTTTAGACTCACCTGAATTGAGTGGCTGGATAAGCCCCGGTGTTTTCCATGTGAAATAGTTGATCTCAGCTACCTGCTGTCTTCTGCTCAGAGAAGTTTTTGTTTTTAAATGGAGCTAATACAAAAAATATAGAAATAGAATAACATAATAAACACCCATATTCCTGCCATTTAACTTCAAAAATGATCCACTCATAGCCTGATCTTATTTCATTAGTATCACCCCGCCCTTTGGATTATTTTGAAGCAAAACCTAGATAGGTGACTTCACACAAAGAATGTTTTGTTTCGATGAATTAGTGGTGAGCAGTGGATTAGGATGTTGCGAGTGTTGATGGTGGACATGGCTTAGCAGGTGAGTTTGAATGTGCAGAAGGCAACCTGTCATTTCTGTGAGCATTTAGGTGCTGAGACAAACTTAAGGTTTTATTTAGCAGTTTGCTCCCAATTAGAATTGTTTTCACTGTGCATTCTTTATGAATAAATACCTGTAGTGCTCTCACTGCTTTTTAAAAGCTGTGTTCCTTTTCACTTCAGGACTGAGATTTCCCAGGGCTGGTTAACACCTGCTTGGGGTAGAATCTGGTTTACAGATTAAGCATGGACCTGGACTTCATGGGATTCTTATCACAGGAATGTCAACAGAAGACAGTGCTTCCTACCAATAGCATTTGAGAGCACTATTGATTTTTACTTTCTTTAAATCATTTTTGGTGGTACCCCACCTGTTTCTAGCAAAACCTCACTTTGACTTAGGAAATGCAAATCAAAACCACAGTGAGATACCACTTCACACCCATTAGGATAGCAATTGTTAGATAAACCAGAAAACAAATATTGACAAGGATATAGAGACATTGGAAACCTGTGTAATGTTGCCAAGAATGTTAAAATGGCATAATGCTGGCATCTCATATGAGCGCCAATTCGAGTGCGGACTCCACTTCTAATTCAGCTCCCTGCTGATGCACCTGGGAAAGCAGTGGAGATAGTTTGAATGTTGTGGCCCCTGCTGCCCATGGGGGAGACCTGATAGAGTTCCTGGCTCCTGGGTTTAGTCTGGCCCAGCCTCAGCTATTGTAGCCATTTGGTGAGTGAACCAGCAGATAGATCTCTCTCTGCCTTTCAAATAAATAAGTAAATATTTAAAAAAATGGTACAACTGCTACAGAAAACAGGATGTTGCGACTGGCATTGTGGTGCAATAGGTTAAGCCACTTTTTGGTATGCTGACATCCCATTTTGGAGTTCTGGTTCAAGTCATAGCTGCTTTACTTCAATCCAACCTCCTGCTAATGTGCTTGGGAAAGCAACAGATGATGGCTCAAGTATTTGGCCCATGCAACCCACGTAGGAGAACGGGATGGGGTTCCTGGCCCCTGGCTTTGGCTTGGCCCAGATCTGGCTTATTGGGACCATCTGGGGAGTGAACCAGTAGATGGAAGATCTCTTTCTTGCTCTATCTCTCTGCCTTTCAAATAAATAAATGAATCTTTAAAAAAAAAAGATGGTTCCTCAAAAAGTTAAAAATAGAATTGTTGTATAATCCAGTAATTCCACTTTTGAATATCCACCCCCAGAGAACTAAAAGCAGGATACATGTACACCCATGTTCACAGCAACATTATTCTCAAGATTCAAAAGGTAGAAACAGCCCAAGTGCCCACTGACAGTGGAATGGATGAACAATGTGGTGTATACATGCAATAGAGTATCCTTCAGGTTTAGGAAGAAAGGGAATTCTAGCACAGGTTACAGCATGGCTGAACCTTGAGGACAATATGCTGAGTGAGATAAGCTAGATGGGAAAAAACAAATACTGTGTTTCCATATCAAAAGGCAGAGAGTAGCCGGTGGTTGCAAAGGGCCAGGGCTGGGGAAATTGTGTGTGTATGTGGGTACTTTTTAATGGGTACAGAAAGTTTCAGTTTTACGAGCTGAAAACAGTTCTGGAGATAGATGGTGGCAGTGCTGATGGTTGTGCAACACAAAGTGCTTAGTACCTCTGTACTGCACAGTGAAAATGGTTAAAGTAAGTTTTAAATTGTTTGTAGATTATATTTTGCCACAGTTAAAATCTCAGTGCAGGCATTGTGGTGCAGCAGTTGAGACTGCTTGGGACCCCCCACATCCCATGTCAGAGTGCCTGGGCTCAAGTTCCTGTTGTGCTTCCAATCCAGCTTCCTGCTGGTGCACACCCTGGGTGGCAGCAGGTGATGGCTTAAGCACTTGGATCCCTGCTACCCATGTGGGAAACCCAGATTGAGTTCCAGGTTCCTGGCTTTGGTCTGGCCCAGTCCCTGTCTGTTGCAGGCATCTGGGAGTGAATTAGCAGATGGAAGAGCTCTCTGTCTCTCAAATAAATAAGACTGCTTTAAAAATAAAAATCTCACTTTGACTTGAGAGGCAGGAAGGCTGGGAGAGGCATCCGCTGGAGGAGCGGTGTGCAGCCCTGTGTCTTTGTTCATTCACGCCCCACCTGGTTCCACAAAGACTGAGTTTTGCTGAGTGAATTCTTCGAGGGTTGTTTCAGATGAGGGCTGCAGCTCCTGGACTGCTTTCTATCACAGGCCTTGACTTCAGGATGCGAAGGCTCTGATAAGGCCCTCGCCTGGGTCTGTGTCAGAGATGGAGTAAAAGTGAAAAACTGAGCTTCACTGAAGTCCAGATAATAAACCTGTCTTACCGGAAGGGAGGGGCCCCTGCTTGTCTTTATTTGAAAGCTGCGTTCTGCCAGTGGCTTTCTCAGTGACTTGGACAGGCTCGAGCGGCCCCCTGGGCTCATTTCTGAGTGAGAG